ACACCCTTCCACTCCTCTGCCTGTCCATCCATCTGTCATCCTCCAACTTCCCTCTTAAAGGCAGGAATCAGTTTTCAGCCACAGCATTCTATTCGTGCCTGATCTGCATTTCCTCCTTTACATGAGCTTCACCACACAGGAACTAGGTCTGAGCAGTGAATGAAGGGACTTCATGAACTTCAAACCAGTGCTACCACCTCTGCCCTGATCTTTCTACCTGTTCTCTCTATAATAACATGGGTATGTTTCTTCCTTTAAAAGGCAAATATTAGACGTTTATGCAGGCAATTAAGGTTGGCAACCCTAGGACAACTTTTCCATGTTTTGATGAGCCTGTCAGTGTTCAGCCAGTGAACTGAAACAGAAGTTATGTATACAGGTCTCCCCTGATCAGCCACTAGACTAATAACCAGACAGAGAACTGGTTTGTTTGTTCTAGTTCAGCTGCATTGGCAGTTGTTCAGCTGTATTGGCAAAGGCAAGCCAGGTGCTTTTTCTGAAGCCAGATTTGGACTTTGTGGTTCAAGGCCTTCACCAGCTCTACTGGGGCTCCTGACACTACCTGAAGGCACAAGGAGACAACGCTCTGTATCCAACCCTGCTCTTCTCCAAGACATCTGCTCTTAAATCCAACCACCTCCCCTCCAGCTCTGAGCATTCAACTCTCCAGGTCAACTCCCAAGGCTTTGCAGAACCGCACAGAAAACAGCATGGGAAGAGGCAGGTGCAGAGATGTAATTCACATTTCCCCCAGAGAGGCTCCAAATTCACCTGCAAAATCCTGGCCATTCAGATTTTGCATCCAGAGCTGACAATACTACCACAGCCCAACTTTCATTGTGCTATTCCAGTGCCTGCAGGTGCAGAGGCAGAAAGGAGATACATTCAGTATTTAATAAGTTATTTGAGCATTCCCCCCCCCAAGTGGGAGAGTGCTGCTTTGCTCTTCCCAGATGAGTTTCTCCCATCTCCTTTTCCTGTTCAAGTCCTGAACTTACATAGAGCCTTTCATTCTAATAGCTTACTACAGGTTTTGTAAAGAAACCAAAGAAACTCTTGGACAGAGAGGACCAAGGAAGTCTGAAGCAGACCACAGTTTTCTCTAGGCCATATAAACAGTGGCCCCAGAGACACTATGCCTGTATGACACCATTACCATAGACCTCAGGGCTGAGGGCCACAAATGAGGCTGGAAAGGGGGTATATAGGAGAAAAAGCTGGTGGTTGGCCAGGTAAGGTGACCAGATAAAGGTCTATTTCCCCACATGACCATGCTAAACCATCTTACCCTGTGGTGTTGAGTATCCATAGAGCTGAAGAAGTGATGGGGAAAGTAACTGGGATGCAGTAGTAACCCCTTTCACCCTGAGAGAGAAGAAATGCCTCAATATTTGACATATGGGGGAAAGAATGAGTTTACAGCAACCATTCCACTCTACCACTAAAGCTCCCACCAGAGAATCCATGACAGCCCCTTGCCAAAGGCATGCCAGGCAGCCAATGGATCTGAACCTGCCCAGACTCATTGTTGATGCAAATCAACATCTATCATTTGTCAAAGAGGTTTCTGCACCACTGTGAGCTGATGCTTTTTTCAACTCCCCTTTAAGAAAGTCTGTTTCTATTGAACAGCAGTCCATATCCCTCTTTAAACAACATTATAACCAAGAGAAAGACCTAAGACTGAAAGGACGTAGAGGTTCAGCTAACCATATCACTGAAAAAGGTGGCCCTATTGTGATCCCTTTGATTTGGTCTTAAGAAATCCCATCAAAAGCTGCACTAAATTGCTGGCTCATAAGAAAAAAAATAGAGGTCATTTTACCCAGGCTTTGGGGGAGATGTATTTCCCCTTTTGATACAGTATCTAGCGAGTCTGTAACTTAATTGTTCTGTTTTGTAGATTAATATGATATCTTACCAATATTTTTGCCAGTGGTGGGTACTTTGAGCTTCTTTCATTTGCCGGGTACAAAACCAAGCAACATCATATCACTACACAGTTACCAAGGTAACTGGAGAGAAAGATACAACTGGCTGGGGTTGCACACTTTGTGATCTCACTTCATTAGCTCACTTCTTTACATCAGCCTGCTTTTCTAGTTCCATTTCTTCCTTTGCCTTGAAACCACACAAGAACAGCGAATCCATTAAGTCTCTTATGGGAAAGGTGATATTGCCCAGCAGCTATTTTTCAAGAGGCAGAAAAAACTGTTTGTGCCTCTATAGTTCCATTCTGGAGGAAGTTTGCTTACCTAAAAAGGGGAATGATGGGAGGGGGGGTGGAAGAGGAGGAAGTATGTCATGAAGAAGGAACTAGCAAGGCAGTTGTCCCTTTACCTTGGTGGCCCAAAATGTTGTCTCTCCCACTCAGAAGACCTCCATGTCCAGATTCCAAGCCATGATGTCCGTGCTTCTTCCACACCTGGTATTAGTGCATTCTTGGGTTTGTGCTGTGGGAAAAAGCAAGAGCAATGGGGAAATGGTCCAGAAGGTGTTAGCTGGGATTAACTCCTCAAGAATCACAGTGGGAGCATCTCCCAGAGAGACCTGTCACAGCATTACAAAGGGGGGTTGCTGATACCAATGCCAAAGAATAAAAAAAACCAAACAAACTGGAAATAGACCAAGTATCCAGAGCACTGCATTAAAAGTGCAATGAATGCAGCTGCTTCTGAAATGCAATATTCAATAAACAAGCATCCAGGTGATTGCAGTGCAGCATTAACCAGATGCAGTCAGGAGCACAGAACTAGAGGCTCGAGTGTTTCTAACTATTTTGAAACAAGGATCTTCACTAGATTTTTTTTTAATGCATTTCATAGCAAAGTGTCAAGACATGTTAATTAGTGCTAAAACCAGTTCTGCGTATACTAGTTCAGTATAAATGCAAAACTCAAGCTGGGCATTACTTTCAAAAGTTACTACACTAGGAGGGATAGTTATGCAAATATAGACCAAAGAGCAATATGCTGCTGCTGAGACACAGATAAAAGACATCCAGAGATACAGACTCTGTTTTAGTCCCTCCCCCCTGTAAAGAGACAGAGAAGGGTAAGAGAAAACAGGAGATGGTGCAACGTGTTATAACATGGGTGGCACTGAAGGCATCTCCCATGTGAAATTTTGAAGTTTGCCTTTCACTTGCAGTGCTATAACTGCTCACTTACATACCTAGAGGCTGCTGTGGCAATGTCTTTACCCTGGCATTCCAAGTGTTATTATCCTCAGGGCCTTGCAATGGTGGATAGGGAAACGCCTGTGTAATAATTTGGGGATCTTGTGCGTCATTAATTTGTGAATCACCCTTTTCTCCTATCTCACTGCCCTTTCCTTTGTTGTCTTTAGTTTATAACTTCAGAGCCTAGTATAGAGTAGATAATTCGCATTCAGATAGATGCTATCCAATACTGTACATGTACAAATTTAACCAGTGCTGAAAGTAGAAGTGAAAACAGCCCATAGATTTTGAGCAGGCCCTGATGAAAAACACAGTTCCTGCAGGGGAGAACATAAGGGCTTGGGGATTGCACTGGAAAGAAGCCTAGAAGCAGATGCCTGCCTGGGGATTCCCAGCTGGCACCTAAGCTACCACCCAAGTGTTCAAGGATGGAAGAACAACTCCAGCCTTTGTCATGTGCTGGAGTCCAAGGACCAGGGTCCTGGGGCTTAACTCCTTATCAATCTCGGTTCCACTTCAGCCATCTCTACAACCTGGATGTAAAGACTTGCTAAAATTCTTGTGTCAGTAATAAGTTAGGCAGTGATTTCAAAGATACATTGCTTACACAGAGTCATGCTTGCAATGGGTCACAGCAAGTACTGAATCAAAGCTTCCCTTGCCCAGCTCCACACACCCACCAGATAGGCACTAAATGCAAAACTCAATGCAGAAAATAGGCAGCCACATTAAAATCAAGCCCAAACTCTTCCTTCTGCACCTCCTTATGTCATTCCCCCCAGCCCTTTACTGTCTCTTTCTAATCACAAAAACATACTAATGGTCTTGGGGGATACAGATCTTACATAAGAGATTAACCCTTACCCATACCTCTCCTTTATACCAAGCAGTTTCCACCTCTAGCACTTCATTGTACCCTATTTGTGGTGCAGATGGATGAATCATCATCCTGGGAAATCAACTCCCCTGCCACCTCCTTAACCTTTAAGTGTTTGACTCATTTCAAACATATATGCAGACTCAAGAATTGCACTGCCTCCTCACTAGACCATGCTGATGCTTCCAGCGCCCAGAAAAGGCATGCAAGGCAATAAGGACAATGCCACAAGCATAGGAACACATCTGACAGAAAAAAAAAGAGAGACAATAGCCCAAGAGAGACAACATTTATGATGTAAGGGGGTGGGGTTGTCCCAGTAAGACCTCCTGGTGATGACTGAACTCTTTTGTGGCTACAGTATGCACTTGGTTGCCCAGACTTAATAATGGCTTACAGGTTAGAGGCAGGCAATGGAAACAGCTACCAGCTCCATACCCCCTCTACACCCTGTTATGTCTAAAAGACATGCCCCAGAAACAAATTAACATAGGGACTATCCATCATACTCCCTCAAGGAGAGACCTGAGGCACACTGGATGTTCTGTGGGGAAAGGTATAGACAAGCTGGGAATGGGATAGCTCCTATTATAGCAACCTGTGCTTGTTACTACCAATTAAATGAAAGGGTAGATGAGCCTCGTATCTTGTATTTCAGAGCACATCAGCCTATCCTGCTCCCTACTAGGAAGAACACACTTCCTAGCCTGGTTTCTAACTTTTTTTTTTGTTGTTAATAATACTGTTGTCTCCCAAGCTGTGCATTCCTGCTTCTCTTTCCATCTTCTCTCTTTGAGAATGAAAGCAAGGACAGGTCACTTGCCTTTTTATATGGGCATCTCTCTGAGCATCTCAGAGAAAGAGAGAGAGAAAAGGAAACCAAAACCCACAAAACAAAATGAGAGAACATGCTAATTGGAAGTGTTTTGTTTTTGCCAGGATTTTAACTTTAGAGAGTGCCTCACAAATATTCTCTCAGGGTCCGCTGCTGAACAGCTTTATTCTGCCTCAGGCAGGCTTTCATGGTGCAGCACAATAGCTTTTGTTTCAAAAGTATAGGGCAATGAGGACCTTGAATGCCAGAGGTCTGTATTATATCCATAACTGTAGATTTGGATGGTGGAATGGAGGTTGGGGGAAGGTGAGAATGAAAAATTTCTCCATTGTATAGATGGAGTCCTTCCAGCAAACACTGGCACAATAGCAAGCACATCCTTAAGAGCTGAAGCAGACTCTGGATAAAGACTCACTCATTTTGTACATAATGGTCCCTGTGCTTTAACCTTGTACAGCTACTATGACACCTGTTTTTCAGAGCCATTGTCAAAGAACAAGCAGAGCTTTGTCTGCTGTATGCATTCTGAGCCACACATGTTAACATTTCTCTTTTTGTATTTACTTTTGTTTCCCCACCTTCTCTTCCCCCCTTTTTTTTTCTTTTTTAAACATAACAGTTATGAATGAATGGCTGAAAACTAATTTCAGCCTTGATTTCAACACCACTGTGTCCAGTCGGAAAGTCCCAACTTATTGTGATGCAGAATAAAGAGCAGATATTAGACAAGGGAGTACTATTCTCCTTTTCTATCAACCCATCAAGTCTTTGTGTCTCTGCTTCCCACTCTTTTCCCCCCTTTTCCACCTCTCTGGCTCTGGTTTCAAAGGACAGGCAGAATCCATCAGCTCATCTCCCCTCCAGCAGAAATAGCGGGAGGACTCAAGGGCACTGTCTCATTCACTGCTGCAACTCACTGGGATGCACCTGGGATGGACACTGGAAAGTCCAGGTCACCAGTGCTCATGGTGGGATGGGAAAGATTTAGGGTACCATAGTCCTCAAGCAGTTTTTTCTTGTGAAGGGATACAACCAAAGACAAGAGCAAAGAAAACCTGCAGCACACAGGACCTCTTGTCTTCCTTTCACTTTGCGATCTGCAGTGGAAGTAAAGCAAAGACACTGTGCCCTTCTCAATTACCTTAAAGCTCCCCCATTTCCAAGTTTTCTTAGCCAAGTAGATGCTGGCTACAGGGGAGAGTTGGAATAAACTGAACTGGTACTGATCTATCAAGGACTAAATGAATGATGACTCTGGCCGATGGAACAGCTAAAATCCAGGCCCCAAGATCCGATTGTGAATCATATATGACAAGGTTATTGATGATGTCCACTCCATGGAAATATCTGTGAAGCAGTGAGTAATCTTCTGATGCTTCACCCCATGTGTTGATGCCCTCTATGTCATATCATCTCTACAGGGAGGAGGTTCTACTTAATTTTGTTCAGTGAGTAGAATCAGGACCTATAGTAGCAAACAGTCTGGGTTTGCTTCTTCTCCAACCAGCACAGGCTGCAGCTTTGGCAGAGGCTTAAAGCTGTGGCAATGCTGTTAAATATATCCTTTTACAAACACACACCCCAAAACATCAGAGGAGGATCCAATGGCTAGAGGTGAAAACAAGTGATCTGCTCACATGAGGTTGGTTATTCCAAGCATATAGCACTGCCCCTGAGCAGTACAAGTTAACACAACCAAGGTGCAACAAAACCCTTAATAACCACCACCATTAAAATTGGCTGGGCTTTATGCTTGCGTTTGTTTTTGTGGCTTGGGAGGTTTCCTTTGGTTTGTGGCTACAAAGCCAGCTCCGCTCATAGGCAGATTTTGAGGGCTACTGGGAAACCTCTCCTCCTCAACTAACCTCCCTTCGCAGAGCATGAATACAGTTCCTGCTGAAAGGGTGGAGAGAATCCCCAGTGCCTAGAGTCTTCATCAGATTCAGCCCCTTTCTGACACTGGTATCACCATGGCATGAGAGACATTAATGATGGTGAGAAGTGTGGGGTAGGAGCGGTTCCCAAGTCCCAGACGCTAGACATGTATTTTCCTTTTTTCAAAATAAAAACGGGGGAAAAAAGCCCACAATATGAAATTAAAGTCAAGAGGCTGATTTCAGAAATCCCTATATGAGTTTCAGATTCCCATAAGAATAACTCAGACTTATTTGTTTCATGCTTGCTTTCATTTCTAATTATTGATGGGAAGTACCTACCACATTCACTTGATTTTTAGCATGTTCAGACTTGTTGGGGAAGGAAAAAAATCCCATGGATATACCCAGATGACATCCACTGTCTTCAGAATATGAGCAGCTGGCAGGATGGCAGGCAAAAAAGAGGGGCTGGCTGGAGTAGGGCTAAACACCAAGCTTCTGCTGGGCACAAATCTTGGGTGCTAGGAGAGATTCATTGGTACAGAATCTGCCTCAGGACTATGTTTATCAGAGCTGCTGCCCAAGATGGGAAACTTACCCAGGACTGTAACGAGATCAATGTTATTTCTGAAACCATCACATCCTTTATTGACCTGAATTGAGGTGTTATTTCTTTTTTAAGTATGCTTCTCATTCAGCTGGTTTGGCATGAATCTTGGACATAGGCATCTTTTAAGTCCAGACATTGGGAGCTGAATAAAAAATAGTTCAATGAGAATGGTGAGAAAGTATACCACAAGTGTTAAAAACAAGTCTCAAGGTTCTTATGCCAGCCTCCTGAATTAAGCACTCTAACTCTTAGCAAGGGGTGCATCGGACTGCTGTGCTGCATAAGTCCTTCCCAAGCACGTTGGAAGGAAGGTGTGAATCCCAGCAGGTTGAATCTAATAATGTCTGTAGACGTAAGAATGTTTCTTCAATTTAAAAAAAGGCAAAGAAATAAACAGAATAGGTGCAACTTGCACATTTAATACTCAGTCCTCTTTCATGTCAGATCCCCAAGATCAGTTCACGCCTCCATATCTAGGCTGTTAATAGAGCATGAGACAATTCGGGCACTGAGCCATCAGAAGCATAATCCTGCCATTTGAAAGCACATAAAGGCACTTCATAGCAGCAAGTGTCAATAGCCACTCCCCTATTGATATAACATCCATTCCCTCCTCCATAAACTCCATCTGACAAAGAAAACAAACCAGGGTTATATGAAATCTAACCCCAGCATAGATATAAAAATGATGCTTCATTAAAAAAAAAAAAAGTTACTTTTAATCTGCTAATTCTTGCTCAGGTCCCTGCCTCTTGTATAGGAAGTGTGTGCATGGAACAATTCTGATTAGGACAGAGGGGAAAAGCACAATTCATATCCTCCACCACATAAGCTGCTGAGAGACCTGTCAGACAACAGGTAAAAGATCTTGTTGAAAGGGGAAGAAGCAAATGCTGAAGGAGCCCTTAATCCATAGTCTCACTGAATTGGACATCCCTGCAGCCCATGCAGTTTTTGCATTCCCGAGTCACTTGGGGACAGCAGCAAAGCAGAAAAGGAACATGGATCAGAGATGTGCTGCCAGAGGACTTGACTTCAAAAGGGAACCAAAACCCATCTTGCTGCAGCCACCAAGCTTGTACTGGGGCTTGCTGCAGCCACAGCTGGGACCCAGGCAGTGCTCAGACTACTGAATCTGCCTCTCAAAGTCTAGCACCCTGCTGCATGAGTAAAGGCAACACAGGCGTTGCAGCAGGGCTTCCTGCAGCACCAAGCTCTTGTCTGTCAGACAGAGGCACCAAAACACATCACTGTCTCTTTCAAAATGCTCTGCAGCTATCCTGAAAGATTCCACATCTATGCTTCTCTTGAGAAACAAGGAATGACAGGTGGAATGTAGATATGAAAACCCCTAAGGAGTCATCAAGGAAGAATTTAGGCACCTTCATCAAGAAACAGACCACAAAAGCTATCCTTTGGCAGCTGAGTGCCTGCTAGAATCTAAGCATCTAAATCCCTGCTAAAGCACACATGGAGAAGTGCTGCCATTATGCAAGGGCTGGCCAATCAGTCTGTGAGAAGTATCTGGGCCAATTTCTAAGAGTCTCTCGGGAGAAGGTCTAACCTACTGAACATCCCTTTCTTCCCCGGTCCCATCAGAGCAGTATAAAAGTGCATCTTCCACAGTGCCCAGTTAACCATGCCCAGCAATATGTCTGAAATGTGAATACCAGCTTCAGAGGAGGTCCTTATACTGTGCTACAGGAAAATGCTTCCACCAGAAGCCCCACTTTAGGTATTTCCTAGGCTTTCTCTGCTGTCACACAACTCCATGCACTGGCTGCAGGGGCTCTTTGTTGGCTCTCAGTTGTCACACTCCGCTTGAGAGAGGACTAATCCACCCATATTAAGCTCATGAAGCCGTTAGACCCACATCTAGCATGGGGACATGGAGCATCACCAAATCTGTTCTGGTCTCTGGATCTGGGACTTTGATTTGAGAGAAGAGTCCAGACTACTAAAACTTACAAATTTCCTCCCAAAAAATCCTTTCAGGAGTTAAAGCCCCCTCCTACCCAACATCCTAGACTCCTGGAAGTTTTTCAGAAGTTTTTCCCTTTGTTTCTAGTAGCTGGTGTTTTGAGGAGTTTCTGGTACCAATCACTCCCAGAAAGTTATTTGGTCAATAGAGCATCCTGAAAGGAAAAGCACAGAATAAGTGAATTACTGTAGAACTGGCAAAAGGCACCTTTGCTGTCCTGATGGGGCACAAGGATGTCCTTCACTTGCATGGAAGCAACCAGGAGATGCAAAAAGAGACCTTCAGAGGCCAGAGATGGGGTGAAGCAGAGGTGACTTGACTGTGTCCAGTTTTTGCATCAGTCAAATGAAAAATGATTTGCAAAAAGAATGACCCTGATTGGTTAATGAGCATCTCTCAATTTACAGCAGCAGAATGTCGGGTGCCATCAAATGCAACCAGAAGTTAAAGCTACGACTGCTTTAATAATCACTGACTGCAGAGTATTTAAAAAAACAGCTAAGCTTTCAGGGGCTTAAGACTTATTGCTTGCATTTTCTCAGCTTTCTTAAAGAAAAAAGGGGTGTTGTAGAAAATGGTCAAATTTATCATTTATAGCAAAATATTAATGTAGCAGCAGGAGACTTGATGTGGCCATCTATCTACAAGCATTCAGACTTCAAAGGAAGCATAAACAGGAAATTAATGGTTTGTCTAGTGTAAAGGAAAAATAAATGCAAATGTAGCCTCATTAATACCAAGTGGGTGACTTCTTGGTTTATGGGGTTTGGATTGATTTTGTCAAAGGCCAATAGATTTATTAAAAATGTCTTTTAAATTTAGCATCCCTATACCCATTAGTTGAAAGGAATAAAATTCTCTGCAATTGCCACCACCTCTCCTCCTCCTCTTCTCCCCTCTCTCTGGATGTTGTTTTACCTAAATAAAGTTCTTGCATTAGGACTCACTTTCATACTGAAATATGTCTCTTGTAGGAGCTGCTATAAACGTCAGCATTTTCCACAGCATTAGTTTATGGGCAGAGTGAATTTTAATGGCATCGTAATCTCACTGCAATCAATTGTGGTACATGGGAGGGGAAACCTTAGGGAGTGTCCATTAACCAGAGCTCTGCATCACTCCAGTGCTCAGGAGCTTTCAAAGAGTGCTTGGAGGGTTATTTTTTTCCTTTTCTTTTTAATACCTATTCACAAAATGTTTGTTCGTGGCTGGTTCAAAGTGGGATGGAGGACCCTCACTTCTCAGGATGCACTTTCTGGCTGGGGTATCTAACTTCCACCCTCTGCCACTCCTCTAACCTACCAGACCAAGATGGGATGCTTTCCAGATGTCACATAGACAATGATGACAGCTGGTGGCTGCATAATCATGGTCCACAGGCTGGTTTGTTGGTTTACCCAATTTAACATTCAGGGATCTGAAAATAAATCTACCATTTGGCATGATAGTGGCTGAGCTGATTTAACCCCTTCGATGTAACTGTCCCAACACACAACCACCTCTTGCCACAACAGGGCACTTGCTCAAAACCAGAGGACAGCAAAATGTTCTTGTGCATCTCAGGCCCTCAAACACACAGTTACCAAAACAGCAAACAGAAAAGTATATGTGGGAGAACACATTCTGAGCATCTGAGAACAACAAAGCAAAGGAATAGCCTGAGCTTGCATATGTAAGAAGCTTTTTCCTATGTCTTTTGGCCTGCTGAAGCCAACAATACTCTGCACCAGGTTTCCAAAATGACAGTAAAGAAGCCACTCCATCATGGAGCACAGTTGTAGGATCACATCCTCTCTGAGGCAAACACTTAACCTAGCATGTGGCAAGGTTAACTAATGCATAACATGGAGGTTTCATTAGGAAAATAGAACACAACCTTATATTCACATACCATGCATTTTTGGGCTGCTGCGGGACTCAAGGACACAATTCCCCACTCCAAAAAATCATTGGGAAGTTGTCCTGAAACACAGTTCTTTGGTTAAATTTAATTTGTTCATGCCCTTTTAAAGAAAGAACTTGTAGAGATGTTCCTGAATTCCCACATCTGTATGGGAAAATGGTACAATATTATGGGACAGAAAAAAAAAAAGAAAAAAAATGGAGAGAAACAAGAGATCTGGGTTCCAAGAATGTGCTTGGTAAAGTAAAAGATGAGATGAGGGAAATACAGCAGCTAAGAGAAAACAGACTTAAACTACAAAGAGGCCTGAAAATGGCAAGTTTGAAAATGCTGTTAACAGATGGGAATGTAATGCAAGGGAGACATATATTCAAAAGACTAATTTTCTTCATTAACAATAATTGGAGATGTTCAAGATAAACTTACTGTAAAGTTCACAAGCAAAAACCACAACAGCTACATGAGGAGCATCCTTTCTCATATCTAGGTTATATCTGTAACTCTAGTCTAATTCTTTAAGCAGACTACAAAAATTTGGAAGCATACCATGATTCTTTAAATCATCACACTCACCACACAGAAAAATGTAATTCAATTTATACGTTCCTGAAAATGTCTAAAGAAATTAAGACATTGGATTTCCTAGGAATTTTAGTTTCACATATACTTCAATACTAGCATAAAGATTAAAAGGGGATCCATTATCTTTTATCGTAGGACAAAATATCACTTAGGTGCAGTGATTTGTTCTGTCATTCTTGACAATTCTAGATTTCCTCTCTCAGCTGCAGATTTTCATTTCAACTAGAAAAAGAAGCCAGAATACGAGCAGATGCTTTGCTGTTTGGTTCTGAAGGTCTGTATTGCAGGAAGTAATCACATGGAGTACAGCTAGAGAGCCCACGAACCAGATTCACCATTCATACTGCAGGATCAGCTACACACATTAAGTGTGTTTGAAGCATGTTGTTGCACACAGGTAACCACAGAAATTGGGCAACAAATGTGGCCATTCCCCATTAAAACTTTCAAAAAGAAAGAGTATATGTAAATGCATTTATTCCAAGAAAAATATCAAGGCTTCCATTTATGGACTTTTATTAAAAACAGAAATGTTTTTAGTACAGTGGAGCCCCAGACTATCTGCAGCCTACCTGGTAAAAACTCCCATGCTGTAGACCCCTGTTTTTCACTGTTTGGTATTTGAATTCCTATTAAAAGTGACCCCATCTGCCATCACTATCAATGCATAAATCTC